GGCATCAGGTTTAAAACCGCTGCTGAATACCCAGAATCCAATGCAAAAAGTGCAGAGGAAACTTGGTTAGGCAGTTAGGAAACTGGTCCTTCTGAGCCAGTGTAGTCATTAACAGAATGATGGTTTACGAAGGAATTATTAGAGTTTGGTATATGACCCATTACAGCCAGGTTATGTTTTTTAGTAAATCAGTTGGAACTTACTGTTTTTCTAAAGGCAGGTTTTTATGGTGACAAAAATAATATTTAAGTTTAGGAGTAAGAATAGTTAAAGTTTCATTCACCCACACAGAGGGCAAGAGAGAGATGCCTCTGTAGCATGGCAGGCCACCTACTGCAAGGCCTTACCTGTACATTCCAGGCTTTGGTGCTATAAATATTTAAACATTTTATTCGAAGAGAACAGCTTCCACAATAGAAACTGAAAACAGTTCCTCAGAACCCAATGTTAGCACAGTGCTGCTTCCTGAAGAGGGAAGCCACTGGAGTCTGGCTCACTTCTACAAAACCCAGATCTGAACCAGTTTCCTCTCACCTCTAGAGTAAATGATGCACTAACCAAGCACCTAATTCTAGGAAGGTGCTTTTCTCAAAGCAGCCTCTCCTCTCTGTCTCACTAGTTTCCTTGACTTTTGCAAAAATACTCTGCAGAGTTCAGTGAAACATATCCAAGAGGAAAACCAAAGGAAAGGAGAGAAAAAAGTTGTTTTTTTTCATACTGAAGTGAAATTAAGTGAATTTTTTTTGTGTGACTCCTCAGTGAGCAGTCAGTTATTCACTGAGCTTAGCTGCTAAATTGCTTGCAATGCTTTTGTCCAATGCATTGTACTTATCTAATATATTTTTAAATGCTTGGTTTCTAAAGGGAATTTGTGTTCACAAAACACATTCCAGAAGAAGCTAGATATCATGCAAGTAAGGCCATCTTCATAGCCTAAACCTAATCTTATCTATTGGAAAGATAACTAAGGGTTGTAGTTTAGGTTTATAAGCCTTTATATAGCATTTCAAAATCCAGGAGGATTTTGCTTTTATCACTTACCCTCCCCATATGCAGGTAGAAGCTATTGTTTTCTGCTAGTCTGTATATTACTTTGCAGATTAGGGCATAGGCTACTTGAAGGATGCTTTCATTGGGTTTCTTTTCATTTGAACATACGTTTTGGCCACTTCTGGGGCACAATGCGCTGGAAGATCTGTGACAATGCAACTCTGTCATGTACAGAACTTATGGATGAAAGCCACCACATTCATTTGGAGTGAGTTCTTTTGGTCAAAAATGTAGCAGTGTGGGAAGAGCTATGTGGATTTACATGGTTTCAGATTTTTTCCTGATCCCAAGCTCCAGCTTAAAGCTGGATTTCTTCATTAGTCAGCAGTAGAGAAGGTGGTTACACCAGTAGATACTGTTTTTTTCAACTCTACATCCAGCTTCTGGGCTCCTTAAACAAACTTCTCTGGCAGTAAGAATTTTAAGTCTTATTGAAGCTGATTCTGTGATCGAAATGTTTATGCTCAAGGGAATAAAACTCTATGAAGATCTGCTAAAAGTCAAATTATTTTGTCAGTCTTTTCAGGAACTATTTAAGAGTATTCCATGTAATATCATGCAGTCTGTTTAGGCTCTAGTCAGCTGTATAGATGGTAAGAGAATGCAATTTAAAATAATTGAAAGAGGAGCTGAGAATGATGGAGAATCTGTCTTGAGAAAGACATAGCTGACAACATTCATGTTCAGGCAACATTTCAAGACTCTTCACAATGATGCATCTTTTGCTCAGTTGTTCCAGGCGTCATATTGCACACTGCGTTTATACCAAGAAAAGTGTTTATTCGCAAGGAAAAGAAACCTTCATTTGTTAAATCCGTGTCTTAGCATACCATCAAGTGTAGTCAGTGCTGCTTTTAGCAAAGTAAAATATAGTGAGGCTGTACTGGTAGGTGAATCATGATTGCACAAAGCAATAGAAGATGCTTTCTTCAGGTCACTGCCCTCTGTATTTTGAATCAAACTCTTCAGACCTCTAGACTTTCAGGGTAGTTCTCAGCATGTCTCATTTGGCTGTTGAGACATTTCAGTTAGTTTCGATTTTGAGGCATCGCACTATTCTTTTAGCTTATTGCAGATTAAGATGCTCACTTTCCAAAAGGAGCAGCCTGCAGTAAGCCACCAGGCTTGGTGCAAAGCCTAGCCAAGCAGGGGTGATTCTGTCATCCTCACCCCTCACAGGTAGTGCCTCGCTTACACAAATGGTCTTATTAGCTGTCTTTTATTACTCACAAAGAAAAATGTTGCTTAGTGTGAGTCAGAATGGCAGAGTTGGGCCCTGGGTGAACAAAGAGTCCAGGATTATCTTTCCGAAAAGCCCCCTGAGGCCTGTATCAAGAGTTATTAAGCACTGATTCAGCCCATAGCATTATTTTGTAGGCTTAAGAGGGATTTCAGTGGTATATTGGGTCTTGTGTCTGTGTAGGGGTGAATTTTGCCCTCTGGTTTTTTTATCTTATAAATAGCTGTTACTGTTTCTCTTTTACATTATTGTTTAAATCTCTTTCAAAGGTACAGTTTCTTAATCCCCTGCTGCATTTTTTTTTCCTTCTTCTAATAAAGAATAAATAAATTTGCAAATCCACACATGACTGAAACAAAAGGCAAATAAGCCCTGCACGATCTGAATTTGGTGCTGGATACTTCATTTTGATTATTTCAGTCATCATTCATTTGAAAAGCAGAAGCTATGTTTGTTAAGCCTCATTATTTTCTATGAAGCCTGACAGTTTCAAGGTTAAACAGAAGACATCTACTTTCATCCCAGTGGCATTTCTGTTCAAACACGGGCAGCTCCTCACTAACTTGCATACTGCCATGTGCAGTGCCATTGGCTGATCCCAGTGTGGAGTATAGCTGAGCCTTACTGTAGGACCCCTAGCCTGCATCTCTGAAGGAAACCTCAATCATTAAATACATTTTTACCCCTCTTCTGTAAGCTACGTGATTTCCTTTAGACTGAGCAGAAATTTTAATAAGCTCTGGCTTTGGATTTTGCTGTTTCTGCTGTTTATCAAGAAACAATTGGCAATCCAAACCTTCTGTTTTAAATGTTACTCCTTTCCTTTGTGTCCTGAAGCATATTAGAGAAGGTTTTAGTGAGAGAGAGTGGAGGGGGAGGACCTCCAGTGATGTTTAAAGTGGTAAAAAAGCTGCAGTGGTGCTTCTGAAAGTAGAGGGTAGAAAGTCCTCATTTCTGTTGATATTGAGGGATGATCTGTCATTGTTTTCTAAAGTTGCACATGGAGCTGATTTAACAGGAAAACATCTCAGGATGAGGAGCTGAGGAAAGTGTGACCTAAAAGTAACTATGAGTTAGAGCTGTTAGAACCCAGAAAGCATAGATTCATCCATTTTAAGGAATAAATATGCCTGACTTTGTACATGTGTGAACAAACTGTAGTGTTTTAGAACTGTCTGGGCAGCGCCTTCAGAAAGACAGTGCCATAGATTTATGTTACAAAACAGGAAAAAATGCACTTGTTGGTTAAAAAAGGAAAATCAGTACATGGACAATAGGAGGGAGAGGCATGGCTAAGCAGTAACTTTTTACCTATACTTAAAAAGTGAAATTGAAGTCATTAATAGTTGATTCTTCAGAATCCCTATGAAACAACTAGAACCAGGTGAACTTTCCACATACATTTCCTGGTGTCTGATAATTGTGTTAGGGTGGTGAATTCTTAATCAAGTTTCAGGAATTAAGTCATCTGGTGAGTACAATAAGAGGTGTAGTTTCATGTCACTTTGTGGTTCCTGGAAAACAAGAGTGTTTCAGTACGTACCATGCGTGTTAGTCACGACTTGTGGCATTAAATCCAAAATGTGTTAACTGGTTTTCCTGCTCTGATACAGCCATTAGATAAAATACATTTTACAGTTTTGATAAAATAATGTTATTTTTTTACTTCCTATCTACATTCCTTATGTTATATAATATTTATTAAAAAAAAAAAAAAAAAAAAAACTTTTCTGATAAGAAGCAATGGTCAACTTTGCAGTAGTGAATACAGCTACTTGAACTTGTGGTTCTTTTTGATCCATTGTGGAAGGTGTGTGCATAATATGCTGGTTCTGCTCTGAAAGTGTTCCATTACTTGCAGTGCCTAGCTCTGTATAGATAGTTTATATGTGGGATAGCTTTCATGGAAGAATTCCATGAAGTTGAAGAAGTAGCTTAAATGCAAGATTACTGGAATGCTGAAAATAAATGCCTGCAAATGGAAAAACCCTAAACACATGTATAGCCCTTTGTGTTTCCCTACCTACAAAAGGAAAGAACAAATGAAGCCCTCAAGGTGCTGGACATGCTTATAGCTTGTCCATTAAAATTAAGGATTAGATGCCTCTCTGACTCACTTATTTTGACTGCTAATTTTTCTGTAATCTCCATAACAATCATACAGGCCACCTTCAAATATCATTGTGCACATCAGAGACTTGGCTTGTCGTTACTTTGAAAGAGCTTCTGACATAAAACACATGGGATTTGGGCATAAATTTATAAATTGAACAATAAAAATATCTTGCACTGCTGGTTAACAGCAGGGTGTTTTTTAAAGGGAAACAACAGCTAAGTGTTAAGTTTAAGAAGAGGTATGAACTGGCCAAATTTTTAAAAGTGCAAGAGCTGAACATTGTGCTAACACCAAAGAGTATGTGTGCCACAATTGCTGTACAGCGTTTTGTGTTTGTTCCTTATGGGGATTCACATACTCCATATACTATAAAAGAAAAGCAAGTTGCTATGGGTTGGGTTTTAGGTTAAAAAGTTTTCTGTAAGTTGTCTGCGTTTTCCCTTAATGTCTCTCCTTTACAGTAGTGCTTTGTTTCTGAGCGTGACCACCACCAGGACAGCTTGGTTCAGTGCAAACACTGTCTCTTTCAGCCAGAACATTCCTAACATTAGCTTCCTTTTTTTTCTCCTCTCCCTCTTCCCTGCCCCCTCTCAGGTTGGAAAGGCTGGTGGACGTCCTGAGGAAGAAGGTTGGAGCAGGGACCATTAGGACCGTGATCTGATTGAAAGCTTCAGTCTAAGGAAGCATTCACATCTGGTGACCAGGCTGCTTCATTCAGCACTGTGTAAACACTAAAGCCTTAACTTAGCAAACAGTTGTTAGAAGTGGGACACTCCAGCGACATTCCAAGCTGAGATAAAATCAAATCATAAATGTTTAACTACTTTGCTGCTGAGTTCTGTGATTTGTTGAAATGTTTCACTGCAAACATATATTTGTTTTTAAGCAGATGCATTGTGGCTCTGTGTACTATGAAAAATGATGTAGATGCTTATTTTAACAGTCTGTTCCATCAGTGTAACTAGACTACAGTCTGCTGCAAGCAAGGCACAGCTTGACCGTGTGTTCAAATACCTCCAGCTTCAGGTGCAAAATCCTGGAAAACAGCTTCAAAATTTGAATCCCTTGTGTTATTTATGAAACTGCAAACAGTCTGGTATTTGTATATTAAATGCAGTATTTGATAAAGTAAGTTTACGTTCAAGAAATAGTTCTGTCCACTGTGTTGGAGATTTTTTTCCTCTTTACTTACAGCCCATTGCAGCTAATAACCATAGCTACATCTAAAGGAAGGATGCACTTATAGCTTTATACAACACTTGAATAACTGCTGGAGTACATGGTATTTTCAGCATACCTTCTAAAGAAGTGTATAGCTAGGTTTCACTGGAGGAACAACTGCATAAATAATCATAAATCGCTGTGTGAAAGCCTTGAGACATTGTGGGGTATCTCAGACAGTGGGGAAGGTTTCCTGGTTTGTTTTCAGTTACTCCTCTGTCCTTCCCTATAGGGTAAATCCTTCAGATGTTCAGAAATCACCTTACGGTCAAAACGCATCTATTTGTTGTAAGGTGAGTGGCTCAGACATTTCCTGCAAGAATGTTTTCCCAGCTTTATTTTGACCTCTGATTGCTCTGCAATGCAGGAGTACCATCCTGGTTGGATTTGGGGCCAGAATGCCAGCCCTCTGCTTTGCTGACTCCCAAAGTGCCCTGGGAGAAAACTTGAATGCTGAAGGACAAAAGAGGAAAGAAACAGAGGAGTGGGGAAGAAAATTGCAGGTACACAGTCATTGTAGACATTACCCAAAGATATAGGAGAGTTGGCCCTAGATGTATATTTGGGAACCAAATATCTCCATGTACTCCATATTTTTATCACACAAGCAAATGCGAACTAAAGAGTCAGCTCAAGGCAGCTGCCTAACAAATCTGGCCCCTTGCAGGGAAATGAGTAGCATTCCTTCAAGCCAAATTTATCCAGGGTCACTTCAGAAACTCCTGATGAGCTCCTTTTTGACCTTCGTTCAATCCTGAGATAGCCAGTGAGACTGAAGTCTCTCCACATGTATTCAGTGGGATGAAAGTTTCATGCTTCCAGTCCAGAAGCCCATCAACCCAGCACCCAGCCCCTTCCAACTCTCTACAGTGCTCCCATTCTGCATTCAGACAACTCAATGCTCTTTTTTCCATTGTCTTCATTGAACCTTGGATCACTAATAGAAAGAAAAGATCGCCTGAGCTGTCAGCACTGTTGAAGCAGTTCTGCTTGAGGAAATGGTATAACCTAATTTTTCTACTACAAAAACATCGAACAGCCATTCCTGTTTGTACCATTTTTTCATCCCTTATGATTTTATGTATTTTTCATCATTCACTCACCCATCTTCCAGACAGAAGCCCGAGTCTCTCATAGAGGAGCTGTCTCATGTTTTCAACTTGCCTTGTCATGCTGATCTATTTCTTTTCTAGTTCTTCGGTGTTTTTACCAAGATAGAGCAGGATTTGTGCATGGTATTCAAGCTGTGACTTTAACAGATGTCATAATTATGTTTTCTGTTTTATTCTTCAAGCTATTTGTAATTGTTTAAGCATTAGAATTTCTTTAGGAAAGCTTATGTCTTTTAAGTTAGTACTTGTATAATAATAATAACTTTAGATCTTATTCTTCAGTTATAATATCCAGTTCAGGATTCATCATGGGGTGTACAAGATCAGAACAGATCAAAACCATTTTCTGAACGTTCAGCTGCTGTATTACTATGCATTCCCTGACTGATTACCACTTGTTCCTATTCTGCAGCTCATCCTCAGCAATGATAATTCTTTAGGAAATATCATTTATCTCCAGATTATCCCCTTTTTCAAGGCAATTTCTTATGGCCTTGAAATAAGTTGAACAGCATGGTCTCTGACAAAGATTCCTATAGGACAGTAAGTTAGTTTATATTCACTGTGAAAATGATACATTTATTGTTAGCTGTTGTTTTGAACTAACTTTTAACTACATATTTTTCCGTGTGAAGATTTTCCATCTTACTCCTTTGGCAACTGTGTTGAGGGAGCTTGTTTGTTGCTTGGGAAATGCAAGTTTACTTAATCACGGCTTGTTTTCTATGCATGAATGTGCTAGGTTCCTCCTCCCCATGTGTATCAGAATTTCTCACCTTGCCCCAAATCCTTCCTCCTCTGAGCCAATTACTGTGTGAGTGCAGGCTCTGTATAGCACAGCTGTTGGCCCTCCCTCCCCTTGCATCAGCTGGCTTTGTTTAGGAACGTAGCATCAGCATACTTCTTATTGTGGGTGTTACTTGATTATGTACATTTATATGGTAAATTTGCTACATTATTTTCTTTTTGACATGCTATACCTAAGATAAAAAAATATTTCCTGATTCTGTCTTACATCTTGTACCAAGTGACCATGAGATGTAATGAGCTTTTAAGTTAGCTTTTTTTTTATATCACCCTGCACATGTTACTTTGAATCATAATTAAATTAGGCATCAATTTTTAAAATTCAGATAGAAAAGTTTGTTTTCTTTTGGAAAAAGCCTTGGGAAATTGGCTGTGCTGGGAGGTGAAGATTCTGAAGCAGTTGGGCTCTGTCTCCTCCTTGCTCATAGCATGGTGTGTGGTCCTCAACAAATCCTGCAGTGACTGTTGTAAAAGGCATGAAGACCCTCAAGAGGCCCACGGGCACCCTGGGGGGGATCTCAGGCACCTCTGTAGGTTAATGGCAAAACACTTTCACTTCTTCACCCGCTGTAGTGAATGACAAAGGTTGGGCAGTTCCAGAAATAGAGGCCTAGCCCTTGGTGCCTTCAGGTGGATTTCTGGCCTCAGTGAACTCAGTCTGAGTTTTGTCTTTCAGTGTAATGAGGGCAGGAACTCTGATCTGACATGTAGAAATAGGCAATAATGATAACACAGATTAATTGGCTTTTGTTGTGCAGTTTATTCAGTGAGAAGTGATTGATGTCTGTGAAATGTTCTGAAGGCAGAGAAAACCTGCTCTATATAGCAGATATGGAGAAGTCACTTCTGTCCTAACTTGTGGAGAAAGATGAGCTTGCATCAGATTAAGTAACAGAAATAGCAGTTTGTTTTCCTCCCGGTGATGAAAGATGGCTCACCATGGGCAATACTTATGGTGACAGTTGTAATTACTGGTCAAATTAGTGTCCCTGTTGTTTTGAAGAGCACTGAGATATTCAGGAATACTCAACCCCTGTGAGATTTCCTGTGTTTCTCTTGATGATCCTGCAGCATGCTTGCATTGGGAGCCATTTCTGCAATATGCCAGGGTAAAATATGTAAATAGCATCATGTTGGCTTGGGATAAAAGCGTTATTAATGCTTTTCGGCACTGTAATTATATTCATAGTAAGCCTTCCCTAAGCCCACACTAATTAACAATATTATGACAAATCAACTTTAACTGAAAAGAACTGTGAACCTTTAGTCATTTAGTACTGTTTTCATTCAGCCCATAACCCAAAATCAGTAGTGTGGTTTTCTGCACGAGTGCCAGAAAAACTACAGATACTTGCAAAGTTCAGAGCCAGATCAGTCATGTTTGCAGAATCCCAGAGATGAAGTCAGTTTGATTCTGCTTTAAATATATTCACAATAAAGCAAGATTCACTAGTTAACCATTAATATAGGGGAACATGAAAACAGCTCTTATGAATAAGCCATCATATTTAAATAGTTTAGTAAAGTCATTATGTTGTCACTGGCATACTTGTTTATCTATTTATTTCAAATCACAGGACACTTTACAGATATTCACCTTAATTTTCAAATTAAATGGCTTTATAAATTTTCTTATCAAATGATCAAGAATTATAACATCCTTAATCCATGTACACAAATGAACTTGCTATCTAAATGTCAATATTCTTCTGTGCTATTATCTTCTTCATTTAGAACACTTCCTGATGAAGGCTGCTAGCATTTTTTTCTTCTTCTTTTTAATTTGTGTGCCACAAGATTTTTGTCACTTGCAGGAATAAGCTGCAATACACATTAAGTCTCTCACTGACAGTTTCTCTCATATTGATCTCACTATGATCACAGTGTTATGCTGACTATTATTATTGTACCATTTCACATCAGGTCTACAGAGCTGGACTTCCCTTGTTTGTTTTTCTCATGCATTGGTAAATAAAATGCATTCACAAGTCCAAAAAACAAAGTGGTGTTCTCATATTAGGTTGATTATAAGTCAGCTGTTGAGCTTCACTGGTCTAAACATTTCATTCTTCAGTTTTGTTGGGAGCACACGTGTTCTGGGAGGCTTTTAAACAAATGCTTGAAATGGTTGAAAGATTTACATTGCTGGTGCCTAGCTAAATATGTAGTCTTTAGAAAAGACATGGTTTATTTTGGCACCATTTGAAAAACTCAAATATTTTAAACATTTGTTAAGTTTGAGCTTGCACATTTCAACGAAAAGTTTGCATTCCAAAATTACATCTCAGATTACCTGTCTCTCTCTCTCTTTTGTATTTTGTAATCCTTTTATTAAAATAGTCTTTGTAAAAGAAGTTCATTTTTGAGGGGAGGTGTTTGTTTGGTTGGTTTTTTTAATTTGTAAAATATTGCCTTTACCTTAATCAATTTTTAAGGTAACATTTACCTGGTAACTCTATTCAACTAAACTTCAGAAATGCAACTACAGAATGCTTTCAGAATTTAGATCTTCATGTGAGTGGCCAAGGCTTGTTTGTAAAATTAGTCAAATACAAGAATTCTGGCCAAATCCTGCAGAGCTTCAACTTAGTCGTTCTGAATGCTAAGATAAATAAGTAGTAACCCTAATGTTAGGGGTGCAGGGCCAGACAATAAAGAGAGCAGGTTGAATGAGTACTGAACTGATAAAATAGAACAGCTCAGGGAAAAAGAAAACCTTTTGCCTGGAGTTGTTTTTCTTTTTGGTCTTTCCCTCCCTTGGCTGGGGGAGGGGCTGCAATGTTTAGCCTAAATTTTTATTTTAAAATCAACTTCTACCTTTGGTTTTCCCATAGGATTTAACCTGAAAGTTGTACTGAATCTTAAAAAATTGAGAACGTATAAATTGAAAACAGTATATTTTGTATAAATCCTGACAGATTCCCAGTTCAACAAACACTTGAGCATACCACTACAATTATGCACGTGCTTTGGTGCGTTGCCCAGTCAACAGCCAACTGCAAAGGGTCACACGCCTTTCTGCGAAGCTGTCATCAGGAGGAGTTTGGCGTGTTTCCTCCATGGTTACCTGGAGCCAAAGGTCGAAACAGTGCCACATTCACAGGAGTTCCTAAGCATTTGAATGGCTTCTGAACGTGCTATGGCAGATCCATTGTCATATAGTGAAATAGCAACGTACCTGGCAGAATTCGTCACACCTGATAAACCTTGCAGAATACATTACATGAATTTAAGATGATTACTGGACATACATGAATATGAATACTGTATTTCACATATGACTGAACAATGACATGATTTCCTGAAGAATTCAAAAGGTGGAAGCTATGCGTTTGAGGTTTTTTGTTTCGTTTTGTTTTTGATAAAGTATATTACTAGAACTACTACCAAAGCCAAATTCATAACAGAAAAGGAAAATACAAAAATTTAAGACGGAAAAATGAAAATTTAGTTTAGTGCTATTCTAATTTATTGTCTGTAACCTCAAGACCTTTGCTCACAATTTTTTACTTTCACTGAAGTAGTGCCACTATTTCACAAATTCTTTCTTTTCAGATAAGTAAACAGTTTTCAAAAATGAGAAATGAGTCTAAGTTGAAATCAAGCAAGATTTCATACACTTCTATGTGACACTTAGCTTTTCAAAAAGTTAACTAATATCTTCACTTGGATGTTTGGATTATTGAGAGAACATGCACAGCTCAGATGCAGCCTATGTGGAAGTATACTAGAGTAGAAATAGAATAAAAAATGGTAGGTTTCTTCATCAACACATGGTTTCCAAACATTAGTGGTACACTTAAGCAAAAGAAGACACAGGAGATAAAATTTGCAGTGTGATCTGCTATGGCATTTGTTATATCAGCATGCTTTGAAATGGAGGTGCATCAAATGAAACACTTGAAGCTATGACCTCCAGACTGGCAGACCAGTTCTACCACTTAACTGTATTCTCTCTGGTGAGGAGAGATTACAGCTTTGCACACAAGTCAAAAATATAGAGCTCTGTATCAATGTCATAGGATATGGAGCTGTAGGGCTCCAAAACAGCATATCATGATTTTCATACCTGGAGTTATGAGTTCTCAATGTGTGATCCAGTCAGCATACTGAGAAAGATGTAGGTAAATCCAAGTAAGTAGAATCCAAGTAAAAGCTGTGATTTACTTGGATTCTACTTCCTACAAGGACATGGAAGGCATACATCAGGACGCCAGGACTGGTCAGCGCTGAAGCTGCATAATAGCAAAGTGCAAGTTAGAAATTACATTTTGAACAGAACAGCAGAAGAGTAGTACGAGAAAAAAAAATTGCATGAGTGTGGAAGCATAGTCTGCTTCAGATGGAAAAAAAGGAGGAAAATTTATTGCAATAAGCAACAGAAATACTTCACTTTGCAGACACACAGAGGTGTTGAAAATGTCAGGGAAGTCATAGCACAACACGGATTCTGAAGTCTTTGAGTGTAGGTGTCTCACTGAAGCTGAAGTTGATGTGAGAGTGTGAGGATAAGAAAAATGCTGAAATTTGGTTGTGTTCAGTTTGTTCACTGAATTCTTGTTTGATATGACAAGATATCTCAGTTCTAAATTTTGAATAAAACAACATTCCTAATTAACATTTAGCTGGTTTGGTCACTGTGTAGCCAATATGTACAGTTGGCAGTGTCCCCCCTGCTTCTCTCAGGTTGAGCAATAGAAATCACACCTGTCCTATCGCTAAAGCTTTTTTGTTATAAAGAAGCATACATTTAATATCACCAAAATGGTAAATATTGAACCTTCTTAAGGTTTTCATTAAGAAATCTTAGCACACATATAAAAGAAAGTGAAAAACAATAGCACTTTCTCCCAGTGATAGGTTTCTTCACACAGGGGATGATCAGAGTTGGTCACAATGAATGGAGGATGTTCCAAGCAGATTTTAACACCTCTACTGCAGGTATTGTGTGTCCATATGTCAGTTTTACTGTGGCTTGGGTGTGTGAAATGCCATCACCCACAGCTCTTTGTCATGTCTCTAACAGTCGCCACTCTGCCTTTCAGAGCCACAGCTTCATCTGTCCCATAGAGTAGTTCTCCATTCTGACCCAGAGGCATTGCTTATGGAACTTGCTGCTCCCATGTGTGGTAATTTTGAACTGGTAGGTTGAAGTGCAGGAGAGGGTCAGAGATGTGCAAACTTGCATTGTGCTCTGTGTTGAGCAAAGATGTACCAGGATGCAGGGAGATGTGTGCAGTGTGAGGGACAGCTCTTATCTGCAGACATACAGCATCAAATATCTGAGTACAGCAGTGCTGCAGTAGCATGCACTGGAAAAGAGGCCAAAAAGCTTCACAGTTTTGCCCTGCTTTGATCACATAATGGAGAAACTCACCTCAATTACTTTTCAAGCAGCTAAATGCCCCACTTCCTCTGCATTTTGCTAGTCTGCTCGCGATAACTTTATTTCCCAAGAGCTCTAACAGCCACTAGAGTAAGACTTATAAATCTGAACTGCCTCTGCCTGAAGAAAATATGGTTTCATCACATGTGTTTTTGTGAGTTCCCACAGGACTGTTCTCAACATTCCTATATAGCAAAGCCACTGCTGCCTGTGTTGGCTGCCTACTCTGATTTTCAGTAGAGGTGCTATTCTTGTAATTTTCCATACATTGAGATTTGATCTGCAGGCAACAAACACTGCACATTATGAGGTGCTTCGTGCAAAACTTCACCCTTGCACAGACTGATTTCCTGTATCACCAACCATTCGTTATCGGGTGACCTGCTGCCTACTATCTCATTAAATGTCCAATTTCTTTTTTTCAGCACTGTTTTCATTTTCTCTCCTTAAAGCCACCTGCTGCAGGTACCTGCTGGGAGTAGTTACTGTAACTTCTCACCAGCAGTGAGTTGAGCCAGTGCCTGGCAGGCTGCACCGCACACTGACCTCCTGACCCAGGATGTGCTGGAGTTACACCACCACCTGTCACTAACATGTCCTGTTCCCTACTTCACCCCACCCCCACTTGTCAAACCTGTAAATTACGTCTTTGGTTCCTGTTCAGTTTCTCTTCTACCCAAGTAATTCATACACAACACGTGTCCAGCTAGCTGCCATGTTGGTTTTTGGGGATTATAGCATGCCCACGTAGCATAGTTCTCCTCAAGAAAAAATATTGCTACTACTCTTCATAAAGGTGGGAAACAGTCCCTGATAGAATGGTTCAACAGGTCAACCCCCAAGTTCCTTGATTTCCTGTTGCTTTCCAGGTACACAGGCTGCCTACGGGGCAGAAGTTAACCCAGCACCCCTCAGCATGTCAGAAAGAGGCCACCCCATAGCTGGCCCAGGTCTTCACATGGAACCACAGCCATGAGGTTTTGGAGCCTTCTAAGGGGCTGCACAGAGAACCCACTGCTGTTATTGGACTTGCTTTCTGGTCTGTCTTCTGTCACCTTCAGATCAGAAGGTCTCAATATCCTGCTTTTGCCTGTGGTGTTAAAGAGGAAACTAATCTCTCAAATCCTTCCCTGTTTTGATAACTGGAGACCCTGAATGGCCTAATCTTCCCTTGGACAAACTGACTAAAGAGAGTTTCTGATACCACCTACTAGATACAGTTCAAACATTACAGTATTCCTGAGTTCTAACTCTTGGATGTGAGGATACTTGAACAGAACACAGCACTCCTTCCCTGTCTCAGACCTGGGCTGTACAGAGCCCATTCCCATTCTCTTACTATATGTTCTACCTATCCCCAGCACTATGCTCACCACTGGGGCTCAGTGTCGCTCATGGCCTGGTGGATCGCCTGTCACAGCCAACCAGCTGTGCAGCCTGTGTCCTGCTTGGGTGTCGTTTGTTCTTGATGACCTTGGTGATAAGGGAACCTGCCTTCAATTCAGGCTGGAATGTCTCTGTAGTCAAACTAAACTGCTGTAATAGAAGTGAGGTTGGAAGGAGGTGAAGAGGAAAATAAGTGCACAGACTGTAGGAACATGGATCGATGAAAGAGAGTGGGGAGAGAGATTGCATGAGGATGAAAAGTGAAAAGGTAAGCTGAGGGAAATATGATGAAATAGAAGTAGGAGCTCATATTATCAAGCTTGTTGCCATTGTTTCCAATACCCATGTCCTGTATTTTTATTTCTGGGCCACGAATGGTCCCAGTATGGAAAGAATTAAATCCCTATCACAGCTGTTTGAAAGTCACAAGAGGTGAAGCCAGGAAGATGTCTGATAAGGCTGCCAAACAGGAGGAAAAAAAAAAAAAAAAAAAAAAAAAAAAAAAAAAAGAAAGAAAAAAGAAAAGAAAAAGAAACCTGAAGTGATCATGCAGTTAATCTTGTTGGTTTAGTTGTGTTCCATGGTGATTTTAATTGCACTGTAATTTGAGCTAAGTCAAAGGATGGCAAGAAGGATGGCTGGGCAGAGGCTGGTGGAATGTGCATGAGAAGCAGTGGTGCTGGTGTTGGTGTCAGTGCTGGGGCAGATCTGCTAGGCAGGATCTGAAGGCTTTTAGAGGGGCCTTGGCACAAAAAGGCGGTGATTGGCCCTGGGGCAGGCAGGGCTGGCAGTGGGGGTGACAGCCACTTACAGGTGACATGATGATATAGTAACATGGTGCTGACCTTAACAGGGGAGAAACACAGCACTGAGGATGTTTAGGAGGAAGTCAGAAGGACTCAGGGCTGTGAGAAGGAATATCACAAGAACAGGACTGCAGAGCTGAATGGCAGCATGGGGAATCCGCCAACCCAGGCAGGCACCACGCAGAATATCTGAGGCCATACCTTGAGTCTCTTTGAGTTTTGCTTTAGCTTACAGCAAGACCTGCCCTTCATAACAGGAGGGGCAGCCAGCCCCCAGGAGTGGTTAAGTGCCCAGGCCCAGCAGCAGCAGCTGCACTCTGTCATTGTTATGGCACTGAGGAATCATAGATGACCACTGTTTAATTGAGAGATGCTATCAGGGATGTGTGCTCTGCAGCAATTGAAAGAAAGGTCATGTAAGTCAACTGGCATGGAGTGGCAAGAATTTTTGACCAACATATTCCTAGGAACATTAACTCTGGTTGAAATACAGTTGGCACAGCCACTGTGGGCTCTAAACATGCAAAGGATGAAGTGAAGTTTCACTCCTTCAGTCTGTGCTGCAGCCTTCTTACAGTAACAAGGTGCTGACAATGAATATTAAGAGCACTCATTTCAGTGATATTTGATATTGATCAAACAAATGAAAATTGAAATGAATTTGTGTTTCTGCAGTATATACTATGCATGTGGCAAATATTTCAGAGGCAAGACATGGCAGTTTGTGCTGTCATGCAGCATATCTAGAGGCCTCATATTAGAAGACAAAGCAGCTGTAGGAACAAGGCTGGCTGACAGAGCAGTGCAAGTAGAGGTCCTGGGGCTCCTCTTAGAGCCAGGAACTCCCCTTCAGCAAACCCTTACTGCCTCAGGGATAGAGCCCACAGATTTCCCCTTTGATTTCTCAAGAGCCCTTGTCATACCAAAGAAAAGACAACACTAAATGTGTGCCACCTTTGTCCCTGAACTTTAGGGAGCTCTTATCACAGGAGAAACTGCATTTTGACTACAGATTTTAGCCAGGCACAGAATCTCCTGCACTTCCTCACAGTGCCCTGAACACTGCTTCAAAGCAGAACACCAGTGATAGACAGGTTGCAAAACAAATGCCATGGGGTTTTCTTTGTGAAGAAGCTGATCCAACTTTTTTTTTTTTTTTTTCCCACAACAAAAACTGTTTCAGAGGGACAGCTAGAAGCCTCGCTGCCTTTTTCCCTTCAATGCAGCACCTAGTGTTATAGATTTAATAGCGCATTTCATATTCAATTTATTTCTGTTACATACATGTACAGATGAGATTTTAATTCGCCTTCAGATTTTCAAGCGCTGGAAAGTAAGAACTGTGACATTTTAGGAAAAATGACTTGAGCTCCATGTATTATTTTCATAATCCCCTCTCCTATTCCTGTACATCAGCATTTTTTCTGTAAAGACCCTGTGGCTTCTATAAGGTCCAACTTTCTATAGTGTTTCCTGCCAGGTGTTGCCAGGTGCTGAGCAGCCTCTGCTGCCGTGGCTGTGGGTGCGACACCACAGCTCTGAGCTCCATTCTGTGGAATGCTACATTTGTATTAACATGTATCTCCCTTTGTGACTTTTTTTTTTTTTTTTTAGAACTGAAAATGATGTCCTTTAAAACCTCTTCCTGGAGAGAGAGAGAGAGAGGGAGGGAGGGAGGGAGGGAGACTGAGAGAAAAAAATACACTCCCCCTGGAATTTAACCTTAATTTGAACCAAGATCAGTGAAAGAAAAGCACTTTCGTGCATTGTTCGGCAGCTCCACCCAGCCAGCCCCTTATCTAACCTGAGTCTCTATTGCCCACAGCTTTGTAACTTTTGCAGCAGGAGCTCCACAAGCTCTTACATGCTTTAAAGCAGGCTTGGAGACAGGGTGGCATTGGAATAGCAAGAAACACTGAGCGATCCCATCTTGCTCATCCCCAGACTGCACAGCACTGCACCTCTGAGGGCATAGAGGGGCCTGGGAGCAGGGCTTGCAGCCTGAGGCCAGTCCCCACCTGTACCCCGAAACCAGGGGCTTTAAAACGTTTGTAACTCTTGGGTTTAACCCAGCTCCTTGGATTTCTTCTGCCTTCAGAGGGGCAGACAACCCTTGTATTGCATGACGTCAACTCGAGGTCAAAATTCAACCTTAAGCACACACATAAACCAGCGAGCTTCCTTGTTTGCTGTTCAGAGGCGGACTTCCACTGTACGTCTCCTATCGTCTAGGCTGGGGGAACAGCCCATGTATTGCCTTCCTATCTCTTCTCACTTCCTAGAGAAGGCAGGCAGCTGCTCCAGGTGTGGTCCACATTTACACCGTCCACAACTCCTGCCAACCACCTGCTCCCTGCAGCCACCTCCCGCTCCCTGCTCCTCCTTGGAACTCTCCTGTCCCTGCATGCCTGCTGCTTGATATCCGTTCCTCCATGTCCTGCTTCCTCCTCCTTCACTCTTGCCGTCCTTCAGGCTCTGCTTTTCCAGTACCACAGCCCTTTGGACCTAGTGCTGCCTCCCTTCACCCGCACTTTTTTCTGTGGAGCAAATGCTTTGAATATGAGGGCAAGGCATGTACAGTAACTACTCAAAATAAAGACCCAATATCACAGTTATAGAATCGTGGAATCATTAAGGTTGGAAAAGACCACTAACATCATCTAGTCCAATCACTGACCCATCATCACCATCACCACATCATGCAGTTCACATGGAAAGGAGGATGCTTTTCAATGCAGAGCACTTTACCACGAGTCCTCCCCTTTTTAACAACTGTCAGCTGCTTTTCTTCCAAAGGGAAGTTTTGCAGAATGCTCTTTGGTTTTGTTTCAGATTGAATGCAATAAAACTCTCCAAGGAAACCCGGCATGTGGCTCTGTTCTCATGCTCCTCGAGTATTTGAAGGACCCCTTGGAAGGAGTGTGCACTGGAAGATAGAGAGAGGAAGCAGGAAAAAAAAATAAATAAGAAATATCAGGGAGACACGGTCAGCGTGAATCATTTCAGGCTCTCGATTGAGCCTGGGATGAGATCATGTTTCACTTCTACCCTCGATGGAGCGTTCTCGCACCCTTCAAACCCGTGGGCACAGAGTCTAGTGGTTAGCATGGAGTCATTGGCAAATGTTTCAACCAAACGTACACGAGTTTTTTTGGTGTTTAAGGTAACCACTGATCAGAAGAGCAGTTATGGTTACGTTTATGCTTAAAGCAAAGAAATCACAGGTGCGGGCAGATGGGCAGCTGGGGAGGTCCCCCGGAGGGGAGCTGCGGGGGGGCGGGTCGGGAGGCTCCCTGGCAAAGCAGCCGCAGCCCCTAGAGCCGCCTTCCACGGCTTCCTACGGGGCTCGGCCGGCGGCGGGAGGAGGAGATTGGGAAATCCCCGGCGTGCGGCGGCGCTCCGACCGCTGCCCCTCCCCGCTCCTCCTGGGCTCGGCGGTGCCCGCATCGTGCTCGTTAGGCGGGGGAGGGGAAGTCTCTGTGCCCTGCAGAGGGTGAGGGCTGCGGTTCGGAATCCCTCTCCTGGTCCCAAAGCCTCACTCCGTTCCTCCAAAGCACCCTGCCAAGTGCCATCGCTGGGAGATGCCACGTGTTTAGTAGCCTGAGCGATCCGTTTATAATTTAAACCAGTGTTATTCTGTATACCCTTCTTTTCACCTTTTTTTTATTTCTTTTTCCCTCCTCCCGTTTTCCAGTACCCCGCTATGCCGACGCTGGCGCAAGCGCCGAGACGCAGAGCCCACGGAGCACAGGTCCTTGCAGATATGGAAATCTCGAGGCTGCGACTGTGGGAATTGAGGAACTCCGTGTCCTCATGTGTCTGTGTATTGACCAATTACGTAAGGCTCTATCTGTGGTTGGCATCTCAGTACTGAAAGGCGTTATGATACTTAGAGGAGAAAGGCGAGAAAAAGATGGTATTGGTGTTAATGGTATTGGTATTTCTATGGGTATTGGGTACGGGTGTTGGTATTAACGTTAGTGTTAGTATTTAGTTTCCCCGCTTCTATTGTATTCCCATCGCCATGGAGAGGACTGCTGCACTGTACCTCCAGCACTGTATGCTGGCTGCAGTCTGAAGGCTGTTAGAAATTTTCCATCCAACACGTATACACTGGCTGGCTGTTGCCCTGTCACAGACAACGCACCCGGTTAGGTACAATGATACTCCTTTCTTTGAAATGAGAAATTTGAAAAAGAAAGACTCGTTTCCATGAATGGCTTTTCTGGTTAATGCACGCTGCAGCTTTTATTCTGTTCCTGTATTTCTAGGATGGTGACAGTACATACAGTGGGAAAACAATTACACTCAGAAAATTGATTAATGCACATTGAAGCCTTGCATGTATACCATGACTTGGAGACATTGCCAGGCATGCCAGCATAGCAAGTAAGGTGTTCTGATTTCTCAGATAAAGATGTATTTGCTACGAAGTTCAGAACTGCTGTGTGAAGAAACCTCATTATCAGATAATGTGCACCAAAATGTCCCATCTCGTTTTTACTTTTAGTGAAAGGCCATCAAGATGAGACTGAAAACATACATCATTTCTCTAAGCTTTTAAATCCTCACTGTGGTTAAGACTCCTTGAGCAGCTCTCGCAGGACCGTCCTGCAGAGTACTGTGCAATTCGTGGAAGTGCCCCAAATCACTGTCATTTGACTTCGTGTTACTGGCTTATGGCATTCCCGTAGGGCACGAGCTGCGTTGTGCTCTGTAGCTGAGGGGCTCCGCGGCAAGGTGTACCCCAGGGCTCCCCCAGACACCTACAGGTACCCCGCAGAGAGAGAGAAAGTGGAAACCACCAGCAACACTGAGCCCCTGGCATGCTTAAGCACCCTTGTCTTTCCTTAGAAGTTTTAAGACCTCAGTTGTCCTCTAGCTTACAGCAGGATGGTTTCGAGGAGAGATGGACCAGTCGGACACCTCTTTCATGTAGAGGGACACTGCAAATATCTCTCGGGGCTGTCTTTCCTACCCATCTCTTTTCCCAATTTTTACTGAACCAACTTGCATTGCATTTACTGAACCTGGTTTGGCTTATTTGTTTGTTAATTTGTTGGTTGATTCATCCATTCATTTATTCATTCGTTCGATCGTTCAGGTATTTGTTTCTTCCAGGAGATCACGGACAGTTCCCACCTCACTGTTGCCAAACGGCAGTGATGGGGAGAAGCTGAAGCACAAAGGGCGAAGGGGCCAGGCCCGTGCCGCTGCCTCCGCGGCCGCTCTGTCCCAGGACGGCGGTGGGGACCCGGGGGAGCTTCCTCGAGCCCATGGAGCGGTGCTCTCGGGGCAGGCTGAGGGCGGTGGGTCGCGGTTTGGGGTGCGCTCGTCTTTCTCGTCCGCTGCGCTTTTCTTCCAAATTGCGGCCGACCGCAAGAAATGAAGAAACCGCAGATCAACGCAAATGGAACTGCTATTGTAAATCCAATCGCCATCGCATCTGTTTCACTGGAAATGCGAACTGCACAGTGAAATGCACGGAGCTCACTTCAATTCGTTAGTTAAATCGTGATTGGGGGGGAGGGGGAAGGAAGAGAGAGAGAGAGAGAAAATTCTGATTGATTTGGCGTATCTCTTACGTTTATTTTTGCTTAGCACTGCATGCCTTACACGCAGTTTTTGGCCCTGAGTTGTTGAAGGGCAGATTCAGGGCAGCGGATGGCGCCGAGCGGTGTCCGCCGGGAGCAGAATTTCGGGTTCTCTTCCTACCCAGAAGGGGTCCGGAGTGACAGCAGGACCCTTGTTGCCTAGGAATTAAGTTGTTTCTGCTGCTTATTCCTTACCTGAAGCCCTAATCCTCTGTTTGTGCTGCAGCACAGAACAAATTATTTCTTATCAACCAAAGAGCTCCCTTGTAACAATTAAAGTCTATTGTGTAAAAGTATAAATGGCGCCTTGATCCTTAAGGGAAGATGAGCTGTAAAAAGCAATCTTTGGGCATGGTGTGGTCATTGAATGGATAATGTGGAGAAGTTCAGGGAGATAAGCCACAAATTAGCAAAGCCCACGGTTAGCTGACGTGTGTGCTTGGTCTGCATAGACCTCAGCAGAAAGAAAGTGAGGTTTGCTTCCATTTCTGTGGAAGATATTTTGCCACTGTTTTCCGTGGGAGCATCCACATTATTCTCTACTTTTAAAATTATTATTATTATTTCTTAAGCAAAGAAACACACAAAATCCTCAAATAAAAATAAGCCCCAGGGCATTTTACAAAGTGGGACATTTTCTGAGATCCTTGAACCTCGGACTCTGCTGAGGTCAGCGCAATCTCGGTCCATACTCATTAGGGGAAAAAAAGTCTCTCCCTGCCAGGGGAGTGTTTAAAAGCAGTGAGGATCCATATAAACCAGCGCTGTCAAGGTCAGCTTTGCCTTGTGAAAGGAAAGGCGACAGCATTATTGCACATGAGGAAATCCCCACAGGGATAGAGAAAATCATCTCTCTCTCCTTGTTTCTCCCAAATGCCAATGCGCCCCTATTCGGGGGCCGGACCGATGGGAAGCCCTCATATGCCCGGTTTGGGGCTCCTGGCTCCCGTGCAGGTTGGGAGGACTCGTGCTCCCCGAAGAGTCCTCTGAGTCGTCGAGATGCTGTGTGGGGCCCCTTTCCCTGGAAAACGTGAAGGGTGCCGTGGTGGGACGGAGGCACGGAGCTGAATCTCAGCCCACCGGGCACACGCATGGGACCTCACGCACCCCACGCACAGGGCCCCCGGCAGCCTCCCGCCCCACGTGAGATGCCTTTAGCCGCTCCTTGGGATATTTTGCTTGGCTTTGAAAATTAGCCTGTTTGGATAACACGCGATAGAAAACATTGACGCTGGAAGCCAAGTAGACAAATATTTTGATCTCTCATACGAACACAGCGGGTTTCCGATCGGTCGGGTTTTGTGCCCTATTATTTATTTATTTGTGCTCACGTTATTCATTCATCTACTGCTCGCGTTCATTCATCCACCCACTTCCCCCGTTCACTTGCCCAGCCACCCTACACACTTCACCGACTTGACAGGACTCGGCGTTGGGGTGCGCTCGGTGCCGAAGACCCTTCCCCGACTCCCATTAAGACACATTCCGGGGGTCCACCCGCTCCGTGTAGGTGTTTCTGGCCGGAGGGGACTGCTCGCCCACTGGTTCTCGCCGGTCCCGTTCACTGCGACTAATTCGACGCGATGTCCCCGGCTGCTTAGGGGACTGCGGATGCCCCGATGGTACACAGAGTGTCTAAAGGCAGGGAGAGCTCTATGCCCGCCCGCAGCCCGGCCGCCGAGAGGATAAGTGCGGGGACATCAGGGCAGAGCAGGCCAGGTAGCGGCAGCCGAGGGCAGCGGTGGCCGTGGCCGTCCTGAAGGGAAACGTGTCAGGAGTCTCTAACTCGCTGGGTGCCGACTCGGCCGGCAAAGGGAGGAATTCGCAGTCGGACCACCAACGCGCCTTGATCTGTACAATGCACCACTTAATGCACTTCTGTAATTTAAACTGCCGGGACCCCCTCCTTCCAAGCCGATTTTCGGTATAGGTGTTTTCTCATCCCCCCTTTCCCTTTGAAATGCCCCCACCCCCCTACCCTCTCGCTCCCTTTCTTCTGAGCCCCGCTCTCTAATTCTAGATGAGTATTACTTTGCTCTTTTCGTTGGCCAAGCACAATTGTGTTATTGGAGATAATGAATTCAATCCCCATCAAAGAGTATTAGGAGCGCCTTGGCCCTGTAGTGCCTTTTTTCAAACAGGGAATGAAAGGCAGAGAGAAAATTCTCTGGGTAGCCTCCGCGATGGCCGCTTTTGAAGTGAGGGGAGGCGGGCATTGTTGTTCACATTTTTGTCCATACGGCTGAAGAAAGCCCGGCGGCTTTTGATGAGGAGATGAGAACCGCCTCGTAAGTTGAGCAACAAGTTCGATGGCGGAGCCTCAACCGCTGCCCGCTGCCTGTGGATAACATATGTCCCGCATTAATAGGGGCTCGGGGGAACAATTGCTGGGGGGTGGGGTGGACAGAGCCGTGCACCGCCTCACGGCCCCTTTTCCCCTTTCCTCTGTGCTTAAGGCAGAGACGGAGATAGGCGGGGAGGGGGAAGCGGTTTGGGGCTCCGCGGCGGGTACCGGGGCGCGGGAGGTTGGGGGTCCTTTGAGGGGGACATGGCACCCCCCTCTGCCACAGCCTCTGCCTGGGTGATGCTTCTGGGAGCGATGCTGAGCGTTGGCACCTCCCCCCCCCTCCCGAACAGGGTTATCTCTCTCTTTTTAAAAAAAATTTAATTTTTTACTGAATGTGTACTTGAGTCTTCCTTTAGTTTCCTTGTTTGTCTGGTTTTTTTCCCCTTTCTGTGTTTTACAGCTTAATGTAATACCTGAAGTCTGCAAAGTACTTCCTCAGATAAAGCAGCCAAGCAAGAAAAAAAGGGCAGAGGGAGAACGTCTGTTGGTACTATCAGATAACCTCAGAACTGGAAAACTTGTTGCAGACATGTGAATGAGTTCGAACGCGCTCTTATTCCCATCTCCTGCCCCTCAGTTCAGAGATTCCCCGCCCCAGGGTCTTTATTATGCTAAAGAGGTCATTACTGGGAATCGCAATGGAGAGATGTCGGTGTGCAGAGTGGGGCCCACCTCCTGGTTACCGACCTGTTTACATTTTCCGCCGGTCAAAACCGGAGGAAATGCGTGCTAGCAACCTGCCGGGCAGGCTGGGTGTAAAGAAGGAATAAAAGGGAAAAAGAGATTCCTGCGCGGTAGCTCGCAGATGGAGGTGATGAGCCAGCAGCCCCCGGAGCTGAGGGCAGCGGGGCGGTGTGTGCCGCGGGATGGGTGGCGGATACCGTCCGGACCCTTCCCCGGGTGTTGGGCGATCCCCGCGGGTCCACTCGCGACGGCATGGGAGCTCCGCACCCCGCCGACTGCCCGAGAAGGGAGCGTCCCTTTCCCGAGGGCAACCCCGCACCCTTTCATAGCCGGGAGATATTCAAATGAGGCTGATTTCCCTCAGACACCATAGGCACGATCAGCCTACAGATGCTGCCCCCCCCGTACCCCCCCCCCCCCCCCGTAGCTCTTTCTGGTCCACAGGGCGCGAAGCCCCAGCCCTGATCACGCTGCAAGTGGGAAGGTGCTGCTGTCCGGCCCCGCAGCTGGTCCTGGTCTGACCTCGAGCCTGCTTGGGGACCCCGGAGACCGGCCAGGCTGTGGGAGCACGGCGAGGCTCGGGCTCGCAGCTGAATGCAATGGTCATCATCACCATTAATAAAAAATTCCGTTCTCTAGCAGGTTCCCCTTGGAATGAGGAGCAGGTGTAAGAGCTTTGATGGGTAAATTACAGCACCGATAATACATCAGTCGTGGCAAAATAACGATAAAAGGCAGCGAGGGGTTTGCTCCTAACAGAACCCTCCTGGTCAGAGCCTGTTTGAGCAGCACTCCCGTAGCGGAGACTCCATGCGGGAGTTCAGTGTTCATGTGGAAGTTTTGGGGTGGGGGGAACAGAACATTTTTGGCCTCTCGCGGAGACCGATGGATCCCGTCATGAGGTTATATGTGTTTTAAATCCTACTGCCCCGAGACAAAGGTGAGCGCTGGCAGTTTGATCCGTCCAAAGTTCAAAGTTCTGAAATCTCAGAGAGTTTCTATTGGAGGTGAAGGGAAGGAACACAAACACGGCGGCACGGCTCAGGCCGGGCGCTGTGCGGTGCGGGGCGAAACGCGGTGTTATGTACACTAATCTGCCCTTAACTGCGACTTTGTCACAATAGGCAGAATAATTAGCAGAAAATGACCAGGGAGAACAAAGGCAGGTTTTTTTCTTATCGCCTCCCATTTTCCACTCTTCCCTCATTTGTTTCTCCTCCTGTAATGATCCGCAAAGCGCAGAAAAAGCACATTCCATTTCTTTCTTTCTTTTTCTTTTTTTTAAATTAGCTTTTATTCTGCATTTGCTGGTGGATGAGTTTGCGTTAAGATTAAAAAATGACTCCTTTTCACAATGCCGCCCTCGACATTTAAAAAATCAAACTAATTGCGTTTTGATTTCAGCTGTTAGCCGTTATCCCGCATTTCCGAACCCAGCACCGCAGCGTGGGAGTGCGGCGCCCACATTCCTCTCCGCTGCCACTCCGCGCCCCTTTGTGCGGTGATTTTCTCCCGGCCATTGTGTGCTGTGTATATTTTCCACTTGTCCCCCTGGAAACAAATACATATTAATTATCTATATGTTAATATATTCAATATACTCACCTATGAGCCTCCCGAGAGAACTTTTCATCTTATGTTTTATGAGGATAATTAACTTCTCTATGAATTAAGATGCTCACTCTGAATGCACACGAGAAACGTCAATTCCTTAAATGTCTGTTTAAAACCGTTTTTATCTTTTTTTGAGTAACCGAACACTTATAGGCACACCTATGTGTCCAGATCCCACTTTGTCCCAGAGGAGAATTAATACTAGGTGCGCTACTACCGCAACCAAGAGTTTTAGCTACAGTATCTCTATAAAATTAGAAGAAATCAAATTTCTCCTTAAAGGAGAGTTGGAGCTGCAGCGAAAGGATGCCTTTATTTCTGGTTTAACCATCCAAATCTTTAGCATCAACTCCACCATTCAAACCAATATCTGAAGCCACGCCAAAGGCTGAAGTGTTTTCCTGCGCCATCCCTTTACGAGTCACTTTTATCGACGCGACTCAGTTTCAAAGGGAAAAACTGACCGGGAAATATTTTCCCTCATCTATCAGTCCCGAAAATTTTAAATTAATTCCTTCCAATAAATACACACCCGCGGCCGATGTATGTGCCAGTATTGTCCATCCGGACCCCGACACTAGACCGAGACGTTCATGTGCCTTTTTTTCCCATCCCCGATTTGGGTGATGGAAGAGCTTTTATCCTACCGAGCCCC